TATTAACATTTTATTTAATTCGGGAGGGCTCCCCTTCATTATGATTAAGAAAAACAGTCACATGTACGAAACTGTATAATTGTACACGTTCCATATATGCCTATAGTATTTCATCCAACCCTTTTTTAAATTCCCTTGTAATTGTGTCAAATAGCTGGGGAACACGTTAAATAGGTTAAATAAATCAAAATCCACTTGACAAATAATTGTAATGGTCAATAATGTATTTTCTTTGGTGGCTATATTTACCTGATTTAGATCGAGTGAGTGGCCTTCCAGCTTACTGTTTGGATTAATAATAAATGATTAAGTTGTGGTGGTTTTCACATATTTTTGTTTCGTTTGGATTTCCTTTATTATTCTGCGCTTTGTTTAAACAACATCATATCAATTTATATCACATAATAGACACATATAAATTAGGCTAATTACTGCAATTTGGTTATTATTTTGTGCAACATCATGATATTACAGTCATTAATTTTATAATGGTCGAGCAGAAATGCAACGGTAATATAGCATAATGCTTTAATCTCCGCTCTGTTCATTAAGATGTAGTGAAGCGGAGAAAGCAGCGTTGGGAAATAGTTGGTTATTTTCTCTCTGCATAGTCAATTTGTAAAGAAAATATTATCTTTACCGAAGACGGGGGTATTTCGCCTTTAATTACTCCACATTCCTACCCTCGCTGATTTACAACTGCTATTCGAATATAAATTACCTCGGATGGCGAAACTGGTTGAGCTTACCCTTTACAGCGCGTTTTTCGCAGACAATTACTTTGTACACTGAACCCGGTATATTTTACGGAATTTATCCGGTGTCACAGAATCTGGTAACCTGCACTTCGTAAAATGTTCATTATAGAGATATTTGATTACAAATAAAAGAAACTAAAAATATATTAACAGTGTGTTTATAGGCCTATAAAAAGGTTTTTATGTTTTGCAAAAAAGATTTTATGTTTTGAAAGCAAAATGTTGCACGATTATCTTATAATGAACGTTTAAAACATCATTTGATTTAGCCTTCAACTGTAACTGTAAACTAATGAAAACTTCAGTCAGAAAATCTTAGTTTTCTAAAATTTATGTTACATTTATTTTGTTAATTGGAAATTGTTGTTTTTTGTTTTATTTTACGTTGTAAGATGCAAAATGACGTTACCGATTAAGACAAATTCGAGGTTTATATTATATTAATGCTTCCATAATTATGCCGTATCGACCGATTATAGACATGGTGCAATTTGGCATAACAATGATACAACATCAGAAATAAGCTTTTTTTTTTTTTTTTTTTTTTTAAATAATAATAATAAATGTGATATTATTTCGGGATAACGAATGGGCAGTCATTGGTCAGTGTATGACGCAAATCGAACACACTGGAAATTATTAGGACTACTGAGGAGTACAGAAAAGTTTCGTATCTGAACAGCAAGAGAAAGTGGAAAATATTTTCGCCTAACCTGGATCGATGTTATACATTATTGTGACCTATATGTTGTGAACTACCTGATGGTAATCTCGGGTAATATATAATCCTCTTGATAATTTGGGAATTATGGGAGCATCGCTCAACCTGTTTCTGGTAGATTAATCGCCAAAAGGACGCCTTTCCCACGAGCGCAGGTGGGCGTATCCACGGCAACCCTCGCGACTGGTGCTGTGATTGTGTTCCCAGGAAACTGCGTCTCCCAAGAGAGTCTCCTTCTGCACGGACCGTTCTCCAGGAAACCCAAGCGAATCCGGACCGCCTTCTCCCCATCACAGCTCATGCAGTTAGAGAGGGCTTTTGAGAAGAACCACTACGTGGTGGGGACTGAGAGGAAGCAGTTAGCCAACAATCTCAGCCTATCTGAAACTCAGGTAACGTTACACACAAAATGGTACTGAAATAATGTGGAACATATATCTTATCTGACCTACTACACAGTTTATCGGTCACCCCAGCAGTGGGAATCAACATTCTTCTTATAATCTGTTTTAATGTTTAATTGCTAACGCAATATATGTCTTGCAATGGAGGTTTAATGACATTTTTATAGTCATTTTAAACACATTATGATCTCTATATCCAGCTCCAGTAGGAAGAGCTGGAATTGCAAGAGACTACGATGCAAATTTGAGTGGAGTAACACAAAGCTGGTTTATTATAAAGGGACAACTAACGAATTAACTTCAAATGATCTTAGAATGGCAGAGTCAGAGTCACGCAGGCAAAATACTGAATGTGCACATTGCATGTTTGTAAGATAGATCAATAGGCTTTCAACGTAAGGCAGAGCAAAAGGCAATGTCTTCCCTAGAGTACTTTGTTGACAATGTTAAATAGGGGATTTGGATGCCATGACATATGAGAAAAGCCCGAGGTCATCAGTGACAGTTTCTCAGCCAATGCAGGAAAGATTCTGTCTGTGAAGATACAAACAAAAGTCTGCTGCCTGATCAGTACTGCTCAACTCATCTAAAATTCACAGGTGACTCAAAATCTGATTCCACATTATACTAATTTTCTTATGTCAGCCTCTATCAAGGAGTCCGTTTAGCCACTCTGAGGATTTGTGTTCATCACGGTGGGATACTTGTACTAAAAAAGAATCAGAAAATATCAAAATGGAAAAGGCTGAAAGATAAATTATAGACATGTTAGTGACAAAAGGCTTTCAAACATATAGGACTGAACTATATAGAACTGGATGTAAAGTATAATCAGTATGACAAAACCATAGGTTAATTCTTAGTGACTTTCATGATGAAAGAATTTATCTAAATGTTCTCTAATAAAAGCATTACTGGAAGGTTGGGGAAACTCGGAGTTAAAGGTGAAATGGAGGTGAAATTGATGGTGTCCAGTGATGTCACTTTTTCTCACCCAAGGGGCTTTCATGCAAACCCTGGCAAATACAAAACAACAGTAAGCTGGAAAGATAACTGGAATCCATGGAGAGGCTGCTTTCCAGAATCTGAAAACTAGAAACTGTCCAGTATAAGCTTACAGTGTAGCGGTCCTGCGATCACAGTCTAAATTAGCACAATTTAATATACTAATATGGTCATGTTAAATTTTGCTGTTAGGGAAGCAACAAAGTTTTAAACATATTACAGAAACAAATAATAATAATAAAAAAAATTATAATAATAATAAAGGGAAAAAAACAATATACTTTTCAGTAAAATCTATTGGTGGGTAAAATAGTTTGAAAGACATATAAAATACCCCAATAAGTTATTTCAGTTAATTTTTTAATGTATTTTAAAAATGCAGTAGACAAACTATCATGAAGAATTATCTGATGCTTACTAATGATAGTTATCTACTAATATGTATAATGTCTACTAAGTATCATATAAGTCTCATATCAGACAGCATTATAAACATACAATGCAGAGAACTACAACAAATAGAAAAATCTGGTGAAGGTTTATTGTTTATACTGACTTGTATGATTGGTTGACAGCACAGAAAACTGCACTGTATGCACATTACTATATTCGATTATGGATTAACTGATCTAGTTACACGAGTACCTGCATGCCAAACATTAGCACCCTATTTTTTCTCTCTCATGAATACGTATGACACATTTTAGCTGCTTCAATGTAGTTTTAATTACTTAATAACCAAAGAGACCCATAGTGTTCTATACTGTTTAAAAGCCTGTGACCTGTTCTAGGACCTGGAAAGGATTCAGACTCATTACCTTAAATACTTTCACCTCAGTGTGCCCCAGATAAACACACACAGCCCCCCACCCCAGATGCAGGGGGTGGAAGAGCTTCAGCACTATGTTCTCAACACTTCCAGGTGAAGGTCTGGTTTCAGAACAGACGGACAAAGCACAAGCGACAGAAGCTGGAGGAGGAGGGTCTGAGTGGACAGGAGAAGAACAAGTCCAGCCACCATATCAGCATGTGGAGACTCGCTACCGGGCAGGACAGCCAGGGCCTCATTGATGTCACTTCGGACGACTAGCCCAGCCACTCTCTTGTTACAGTCCTCACCTCATTTACCTTATTTATTTTATAAATGTAAGAACCAATGTTTCCAAATCCAGTGCCCGGGGACCCACAGACAATCTATATTTTTACTCCTTGGGTGGGAGCAAAAACATGGACTGTCTGGCAGGGCGTTGGGAGGGAGCAGAAACGTGGACTGTCTGGCAGGGCGTTGGGAAGGAGCAGAAACATGGACTGTCTGGCAGGGCGTTGGGAGGGAGCAGAAACGTGGACTGTCTGGCAGGGTGTTGGGGAGGAGCAGAATCGTGGACTGTCTGGCAGGGAGCTGGGAAGGAGCAGAAACATGGACTGTCTGGCAGGGCGTTTGGAGGGAGCAGAAACGTGGACTGTCTGGCAGGGCGTTGGGAAGGAGCAGAAACGTGGACTGTCTGGCAGGGAGCTGGGAAGGAGCAGAAACATGGACTGTCTGGCAGGGAGCTGGGAGGAAGCAAAAACACAGACTGTCTATGGGTTCTTGAGGACCCTGGAAAACACCAGTATAAATGTATGCAAATATGTCTGAGCATCCCTGAATTGTTGGGGGTTGTTCAGAAATCTGTCACTGTGTGTGGGCAGCTCCCTTATTTCTTGAAGATTTTTAATTTTATAACTATGTCAGTTGCTTTGGTTGCCAATCCACATATTAATGGTCTAGTGACACAAATTTAACTGATGATTTAAAATGGTATTCAGCCAATAAATATGTTCATAAATGACAAGGCTCTGATTGAATGGGTGATTTCACAGATAGCTATGGAAGAACATTGTATAAAAGGGTCATCTGAGAAGGACTCCTGAATTAAAGTGTGAGATGGTTCTCCTTGGGAATAACACTGGTGAGTGTTGGTGTACATTTGGCCCAGACATGGTCATCCGTACTCTGAACCAGGGCAGTCCGAGATAGATGCCGTAGAACGCAACACCGCCTCTGACTGGGAAGACAGACATTCAAACAGGTTCTTGAGAGACCCTGAGATAGCAGCAGCTCCTCGGGCAATTTGCTTAAGTCCTGCACAGTTTGGATTAGCCGCCTGTTTTGATTTTTAACCTTGGTTGTTTTGAAGTCTTCAATTGGCATAAAAGGATGTCTGTTTCCTAATTATTTCATACCAGTCTGAGTCATCAGTTGTCCGATTTGAAAGGTACTCTAATGTTACTATATCAACCACTCAAGCTCTAAGAGACTGAAATACTGCAGCAATTATGTAAACCTTTCAGATTTAATAAACAACTGAAAATATAAAAGATACAGACAAAGATCCATGACCCTTGCCAGGGTAAACAACAGGAAAGTGGATGGACGCACAGACACAAAGGATTGGTGTACAAATATATTGCTTCACATTAGTACATTTTAAGACAGTGGTTAAAGCCAGATGCAGTTTTCCTCAGTTTTTAGCCACCAGAAAAAAAATCAGTTAAACAAAGTCATTAAAAAGAAGTTAACTGCTATGATAAGATTAGAGCAAAATATCATTAACAGTTATTTGGTATGTATCACTGCATAACAAGTTCAGTATTTGTGAATGAAACACAATATGTTATGCACAATAAAGCAGAGTATCCATTTCATGTTCTGCCCTTTCTCTGTGTCCATGGATACTAAATTAATCCACTGCGATGTGTGAGCAAAACAGAAAACTTAAGTCTGGCACAAAGTCTCTTACCCTGTTTGTCACTCCTCACCTCTAAGTATCACGAAGCGTCAACAATGATCACGGTAAGAAGGCGAATTAAAAGAACCACAAGCTTGAGAACTGTAATGCTACGTGGTTATAGCATGCTTTCTTTTACCATACAAAATTAAAGACTGTTTACAGAAACAAACCATACTACCCACGAATAGTGATTTGCAGATCTTAAAAGAAAGAATTTTGAACAGAGACACAAATTGCCTAGCTGGACAAATCGATTAGTGCAGAAAAACTTTACCTGCCCAACTAGCTGATCCTAATAATGGTTAATGAATCAACTGAGAAAGACCCATTTCGACCTGGTTAGTGTGAGGTTATCCCATAATTGCTACCCTGGACTGTTCAGCATTTCTGAATAAGGGAATACATTATAGAAAATATGTACTTAAAAAGTAAGGATCTTCTCAGTGTGTAAGTTCCAGTCATTGATCTTTAGACTTTTAAAGTGCATTAGTGTGTATAATTTTACCTGAACACTGGTTAGAGAGAGAGATACCAGGCAGTGGTGGACACAATCAGGAAGGAGCTACTGGAGCAGGCTGAAGAGGTTGAACTTAAAGCTGGAAGCCTGAGTCTAAGCTCCATCGCAGAAGGTATTGCTACGCTGGCTTCTTGTTTTAGCACAGACTGCCACCGTTTCAGGATACCCACCTGACCCTGCAGCTGCGTTCCTTCTTGCATAGCTGTCTGTAAAGGTGCAACTTTGACTTCTGGGTGAGGTTTTCCATGTTGGGTATGGACATGAGGGAAATCCACCAAGAAACAGCAGTATGTTAACCATCTCTCAACAGGACGTCTCTAAACTCCCTACACAAATTTTCGAACCAATAAGGGGGTTGATATGTTAATTGGCTTCCTCGTGTTATAGACCTGTTGGAGGCCATATTGGATATTCAACCCCACCCACTCACCTGATTTCCATTCTAGTTTGTGATGCATCCCAGTGTCAACCTAAGAAAGCCCAAAGAATTCCATGTATCGCCTCCCTGCTCTGAATAAACTCTCACTGCTCAGTGCTGCATGAAATAAGCGTACTAATGTACGGCCAGCTGTGTTAGTCCGCGTCTCCGTTTAAAAGGCTTTACACTCTAAGTACCTGAACCCGATGGAGGCTAACTGGCTAATACTGGAGAGGTGCAGACAACAAAGGAACGCGTCTTTGTTCCATCTCTTCTTTTTCCCCTTCTTTCTCCACTGGCTACAGGCCCTTGTTGTAGGTCACCACCTTGCAGTCCGTCGCCATGGCAATCTCAGGCTCCAGTTGGGACACCTCAATCTATACATTTTAACAAAACAAAAAAAGCTATTAGGCTATTAAGTTGAAGAATAAAAAAAAACACCTGCTGGTGCCCCAGAGAACATCTTCAGCAGGTACCACTGGAGTCCTGGTGGTCTATGTGTAATTAAACATATCCATCCATCCATCCATTACCATCCACTTATCTGGGGTTCGGGTCGCGGGGGTAGCTACTTCAAGAGAGACACCCAGACCTCCCTCTCCCCAGCTACCTCTACCAGCTCCTCAGGAAGGCCAGCCGAGAGATATAATCCCTCCAGCGAGTCCTGGGCCTGCCCCGGGGCCTTCTCCCTGTAGGACATGCACGGAAAACCTCTCCGGGTAGCCGCCCAGGAGGCATCCGCACCAGATGTCCAAACCACCTCAACTGGTTCCTTTCAACGTGGAGAAGCAGCGGTTCCACTCTGAGACTCTCCCAGATATCCAAACTTCTCACCCTATCCCTAAGGGAGAGCCCAGACACCCTGCGGAGAAACCTCATTTCGGCCGCCTGTATCCGCGATCTCATTATTTCGGTATTTGGACCAACAGATCGAGAGCTTTGCTTTCCGGCTCAGTTATTTCTTAGCCACGACGAACCGCTTAAGCGCCTGCAAAACTGTAGACGCCGCTCTGATTCATCTGTCCAGCTCTCGATCTCGCCTACCCTCACTCGTGAACGAGACCCCGAGAAACTTGAACTCCTCCACTTGGGGCAGTACCTCCTCCCTGTCCTGAAGAGGAGTAATACATAACAGAGCCAAAATGAAATTAAGAGGATTGGAATGGTTGAGGAGTGGAAGAGAATTGAGAAAAACTCTAGAGAATGGTAGCAAGGCCAGGTTGAAATGGTCTTTAAATCGACGATCTATATCATGGGTCACACTCATGGACAAAGCCCCTTCTCACTATGTCGATCTCAGAGTATCTTTCCACCGTAGCGTGGTCATGTGTCAGCGTGTGTGTCAGCGTGTGTATCTGAGGAAACTCATTACCTGCCACAATTTAATGGAGGGAATGAGGGTGTAAATTAGCACTGATTGTGGGTGTAAATTACTTCTCCTGATTGGGGAAGAATGCACATCAAAGGAAGTCCCATCTGTCAAGTCCCCCAAAGTCCCTGAGGGGATGGGGGGGTGTGGCCCAAGATACCAACCCAGCTGCAGAACCACAATTAATTCTGGGCAACATGAAGTGTACAATTAATGCGACATCCACTCAGGACAGACAGGCAAATTCACCAGTGTTTCTTAGGGTCCCCACAATCCGGAAGTCTGTAGGATTATTAACAATGGGACATAATTGCACTGCTAATTGTAGTGGACCAAACTAGTTCAGGTGATCAGCGCTCCACCTTACAAAGTGCATTTCCTGTGCACTCCTGGCCAAAACATGGGCCAAAGATGAATGTTGTGCAGTTTGGGCTTGACCCATGTTTTTTTGTCCAGGAACATACATGGAGAAAACATGGAAAACACTCTAGTGGTTGGGGTACACACACACTGTTCCTGTATCTGGGGTATACAGTACACACATGCATCACGGCTGCAGTATACCTAAGAGTACACACACATCATACTTCCTTATATGGACACATACTGCGTGGAGGATGTGGTATTAGGCTTTACTCTGCCAGCTGAAGGCAAGAAGCCTGAGTATCCATAGCAGTACCTGGGACATCTGGGGGAAGAGGCTGATGGCTAGAGGCAGGGCCAGGCCGAAAGCAGCAAGACACACCAAGCTGTGGACGGGGAGCACCAGCCGCTTATGGGTCTGAAGGAGAGGAAGCCTGGGCGAGACACGGGGAGACACAGACCACCAAGCATAAATGAGACCAGAGCTCTGGGTGCTTAAGACCTGAAGACACAGTCAGTGATGTGGACACAGATGCTGCCCTCATGCACAAACAGCAGTCTGGACCAAGGGTAAACAGTTACATTCCAAAAGCTCACTCATTGTCCTTTCAATGTAAAAAAATATATATATATACATATACAGGGGTGTGTGTGTGTGTGTATACACACACACACACACACACACACAGACCTACATTTGCGTGTTACTCAACATTTACTAAAAATACACTCAATAGTCTTTGCTAGCAAATAAATCTGCAGTATGTTCACCATTTCAGTAGCTTTATTAGCAAGAAAATGTCGTATCTTTGATTCATCACAGTAAACTCCCGTAGCAGTTAAAACAGCAGGAAAAATTTTAGGCATTATTTCTGCAAGGGCCATTAAATACTGCTCTGTTTCATGGAATGAGAGAGATAACTAGTGCATTTAAAGTTAAAGAACAGCCTAGAATTTGACTACGCCATCGCAACACAACCAGTTAATAGTATGTCAGACGTGCACTGTTACATACTCTTCCAATTTAGAGAGAAAACTTTTATAGTGGGTCACTCGACTTTCCAGTGATTAACAGGAATAATAAATATGCAGTTTAGGAAATAAATGTGAAAGTGGCAAAAATCTGTGGTGGGCAAAGACACACACACACACACACACACACACACACACACACATATACCTCCCCTCAATCGCTCTCTGTAAGACAGAGTAAGCTGGCCGCGAAGGGCAGCCACCTGTAGCAACACCCAGAGAGCTGGGGGTTAAGGTTAGAGGCAGGGCCACAGGGCCTTGAACCACAGATGTGCCGAGGCTGGCCGAGAAACAGTGACCTTCTGATCACAAGCACAGAGGCTTCGCCCACTGAGCCACACACTACTTCCATGTGGCTCAATGGGCTAAGAGTAAGTATATATAATGTCCTTGCGAAGAGAATCATACAAACTGTCCAGCTCATTGCATTACAAGGTATTTACCACATAAATGACCATAGCACACTGGCTACAAATGTGGACTTGCAATCGGATGGTTCCTGGTTCAAGCCTCAGCAAGATGCTGCTGTTGAACCTTTCCGAGGTACTTAACATGAATCCTTTCAGTTACATATCTAGTGAACAAGTGGTTGAAAAGTCTCTTAAGAACATAACGTTACAAACGAGAGGAGGTCATTTGGCCCATCAAGCTCGTTTGGGGATAATCTAGCTAATAATCTAAAGTTGGCAGGATTTTGTCAATTTCAGATTCAAAGGAATCTAGGATTTTAGCTTACACTAACCCTTCAGGCAGACTATTCCACACATTCATTACACACTGTGAGAAGTTCTTTCTCAGCTCCTAACTAAAGTGTTACCCAAACAATTTCTTAGTCTCCTTTGCTTGAGGCTGAACAAATTCTTTTATAAATAATCTCACACAGTTTGTATTTATTAGTGGTGGGAAATTGCAGAAAATCTCTTAGGCATAAAACCAATAACTTCAGACATGAGTGACTTTGTAATTTTAGAGTATGTTATGAGTAGCTGTGTTAGTGTGTGTGTGAGAGAGAGAGAGAGAGAGAGAGAGAGGGAGGCCAGAGTGCTCAGCGGGGCAGGTGGAGATTGCCACCATCCTTGGCACCTAATGGAGGGGAGCTGTTGCTTAATGATGGAGCTAATTAACACATATGAGGAGAGTGCCTAATTGGGGTCCCCATAAACACGGGAGGGAGAGTCCGATGGCCTGACCGTATCCACTGGTTCTAATCAGAAAGTGCCCTGGACTTCTCACAGGGATGGAGAAACAGCAGGTCAGTCGGATCTGCGATGAGGTCACTGGATTCGCTCAGAAACCCAAAACTTGAGCATGAGCGACATGGCAATCAGCTGGCTGCGTTTCGATAAGCACAATCATGAGAAGGTCCAGATTCAGAGGAAAGCCTGACATGACGCCAAAGGACGACCAAAGGTAATCTCTATTGTCAGAATCCATTTATATTATATATATTTATATTTTTTTATCTTGGTCTCTGTTCGCTGGAACTCAAAAATTGCCTAATGAACACAACTATAATTCCAGAGCTCCATCACCCAGAGTCAGAGCCCCGAACTAAGTACCCGTCTACCATAGTCGGTGTTCCCTCACCTTTGTACCAGAGCCCCCTCACCACATAGACTTCACCCAGCACGAGAGACCCCTTGCCCAACTCCAGAACCCCCTCACCTGTCTGCATCAATAGTACCTTAATAATACAGCAGCTGCAGAAACCATACAAGCTGTGAAGAGATGTAAGGTGATATAAACAGAGCAGCGGGCCCCCATTTTTCCCCTGTACCTCTTGTATCTCAGTTTGGCTTCACTGAATGCATGTGAGACTGAACAGGCCAAAAGAACCTGGGGAGCAGACTAAGAACGGACAGGCCTGGTTCTCCGCAGGGGTACAGTGAGGCACTGTACCTACAGACATGTGGATACAGCCCAATGGACACTACCACTAACCAGCCTAACTCAGGACGTACTGGGCTTCGCAGATTAGTTAATCTCCTTCCAATCTTCCAAGCTGAGTGTGAGTGTGACTCCTGTGGATCAGAACAGGAAGTGGGAGGCGACCTTGGGCGAAACCTACTTCTCCAAGAAGGCCATTATGATGGGTGGGAACACCAGGATTGGCATAGGGAGGACCACTCGCGTCAGGGCTGTCTCCATTAATGCCTGAACAAAAAACACACATTGCAAAGGAATATATGTCATAAAATTTAATATTTCTGAAGATAAACAGCTGTTCTCCTTGTACAGCTGCATTTCTCCTTACAAAGCCACATACAGGAGATACATGCTCAGATACAGCCTGTCTCTTACTGATGGGCACCACCTGACCGATTCGTACCTCGTATGTGCATGTTTGGGCAGCAGTACACCACATCAAACTTTATGGCACTGCTTGATTTTTCTTTCTGCCATTTTACAGTAAACCATGTTGCCTAGATTAACAACAAACTACGGCAGCTGCTTTACTGTTTAGTGAGAAACAGTGTTCATAATTCCACTGAACGAAAACAAATCTGTTTTCCTAGTTTGTCGTTTTAAGTGTTCACCCATTGTTTCCAGTCATCTATTTCCAAATGCTAAAAAATGTCGAAATGTTAATTTATATTTCCATCAGTTGAGATTGCTGCTTTCCAGTGATAGAGTATTTTAGTATACTTGTAGTTTTGGTTCATTCTGAGCTGAAATATAAAGTTTAGTGTATTTTGCATTGGTTGCAGCCATATTTATATCACTCTAGATTTTTTTTTTAACATACATGTCTGTAGTTGTTTGTCTTATTGGCATAATCTGCTGACTCAGAGGCAGCATAGTCGTGGCTGTTAGGGACATAAACAGCACAATGACCACTAACAAGACCCAAAAACACACATGCAGGCAAGTGCAGGTGATATGCAGAACTTCTACTAGTAAGGGAACATGAAATAATCTAAAGTCTGAATATCTGAATATTTCCCAGTCTCCTAGGTAGAAACAGATGGCATATCTGTCATCCATCCATCCATTTTCTGTACATTCTGTACCTGCTCCTCCGATGCAGAGATGCAGGGATGCAGGGATTCCGGAGGATATCTGGAGGCTGCGGGCGCAAGGCAGGAAACAACCCAGGATGGGGAGCCAACCCACCGCATGGCACACTTACACACTATTCCACTCACACACCACTCACTCACATACCATACACTCACACACACCACTCACTCACACACCATTCCACTCACACACCCTTCCACTCACACACGCACACCTATGGGTAATTTGTTATCTCCAATTCACCTTACCATGTTTTTGGACTGTGGGGGGGGAAACCAGAGCACCCGGAGGAAACCCCACAACGACACGGGGAGAACATGCAAACTCATTAACAACATTGGGGCTGATTCACTGCAGATCATTATTAACATTGGGGCTGATGACTCCCCATGTGACGCATCCCTTAAAGACGTCGTAACATTTAAATGTCTTCAAATTCAGAACTTGAATGAAACCTACTGATCAGGTGCAGTGCAACATGAGCCTGATGTCGTGAACAGAAAGGATAACGCGATTGTCTGTTATATAAAGGGGAACTTGGTAAAATGTGCTGAAGGGGAAGGTCCCTTGGTAAATTTTGCAGTGACCCCCCCCCGCCGCCACGATGCCCGCTGTTTCCTCAGCCACTGAACGAAACGAAATGCCACAAATCAGGTACTGTCATAGAATAGGCCGCAAAGTGTAACACTGCCCATGCAGGGAACGTGTGAGGTACAAATCGGGCAGGTGGTGCGGGTCAGGCAGTGCGGGTCAGGCAGTGCGGGTCAGGCAGTGCGGGTCAGGCAGTGGCACAGTCCCCTGGGTGCTGCCAGGGCCGCCACTCACGTGCTTGGCTGCGATCCTGGATGTCCCCACCACGTTGCCGCTGCTGTCCAACACGTCTATGCCCTCCTTCAGCTCGGTGTGCCTCATCAGCCCCACGTTGCAGATATTAGCACTGGCTGCGGAAGAGAGAAGGGTCACCAAGACAGGCTGAGACTAGCAGGGGGGGGTGGAGTAATACGAGGGAGTGCAGGGGGGAACAAGCACTGCCCATAAGGGAGCAGAGGGGCAATAAAAATGGCTATAGGGAACTAGAGGGTAATAAAGATGAATAGGGAGAAATAGAGGGGTAATAACTACTTGCTGTACTGGGGAGAGGTATGGAGGAGTCGTCATGGCATACAGACAACCTGGCAGGATGTGACATCACAGGATATGATGCAACGGCAGATTCATTATACTCTATAAATGCCATGTTATGTTAGGAATATATGCAAACCTGTGGCCTGTACTACGAAGCTGGGTTACTGGCTTATCGGGGTAACTTGTCGGATTTAAGGTAGTCTGGGCAAAATGTAAGTGAATATGAAGTCCATTTAAACTATGGTACCTTAAATCCGACAAGTTACCCCGATAAGCCAGTAACGCCGCTTCGTAGTACAGGCCACTGATAGACACCTAGAGTGTAAGATTAGTAAGACGGGGCTGTTAGAGAGGCTGGACTGAAGGACTCGGGGGGGAAAGAGGTTCCATGAGAAAAACCACATTCTGTAGTGTCTGGTGTTTCTGGACTGGTGAGTCTCACATGCTTGAGATTAATTTTAAAGTATTTTTAAGGCGGCTGCTGTGGGGTACTCAACCATGTCTGAGTCATTCAAAAGAAAAACACAAAAGTAAATGTTAATAAAATAAGTGCACAGCTTTCAACTGCTATGATAATATTGACAACACTGATTCCAGACTCTGATTCCAGTTTTTCTAACACAGTCCTGTTCTGTCTGATGAAAATCATTCCCCATCAATCTTCATGCATAAATGAGGCACTGAAAAACAAATGCTGTTCTTCGCTTAATGCACTTAATCTGTTGTTTTAGCCCTTTAATGTGAGATAAAAGGTACTAATACAAACTAGTACAAATAAACAAGGGGAAAAAACAAACAATTATAGCCGGGCTAGTAACCACAGCGGGGTAATTAGGCAGGTCGTTTGCTGCCTCCCAGACCTAACGACGTGATGATTACCAGAAAGGCCTGGGGACGGGGAAACCTGCTTATTTTATTAAGAGGACGGCAAACAATTTAATTACAGCTGAGCAGCCAGGGACGGTGTCCTGGGGAGACACCTGTAACCCCACCTGGGGGAGGACAGGAGAGAGAGGGAGTCCCATGGAACGATAAAAGGGAAAAAATAATAATAAATGAAATGTCTAACACAGGAGGCTAACTAAAAAAACCAGGGGCACCTGTTACATGGACCAACAACTGACAGAAGACTAACTGACCAAACGAACACTGGGAACTAACTGACCAAACGAACACTGGGAACTAACTGACCAAACGAACACTGGGAACTAACTGACCAAACGAACACTGGGAACTAACTGACCAAACGAATGCAACTGTAGCACCAGAGGTTAACTGATGAAACACAGGAAGGCAACTGGCAGAATCAGTGTAAGTATAACGCAAAGTAACAGCTAACAGAAACCTACGATGGGACATGTAGCTAACGATCCATGGCCACTAGTGACACAGCTCGGGGGTGGGGGGGGTACATACCCACAGCTGGAAAGGGGACCAGACGCTGGACCATCACTCGTGTGGCTGGGCTGAACCTGGCAGCTCTCTCAATCAGCATGTTCAGACCCACCTAGGAAGACACACGTACAATGGCTGCCTTAGTTGCTGAACATGACAGCTGATCAACAGGAGTCTGGTTACAACCAAGCATTGGTTTGTTGGTTTATCCAATCCGTATTTCCTGCTGTGTTTTCATGTACTGAATAAAATACAAGCAGCTCAGTGCCTGATTCAAATGTTATACTATACTACTGTATACTATAAAGAAATATTTCTTCAAAATAACTGTGCAGAAAACCACCAAATAATATTCATTATCAATGAATGGAATGCTTGCCTAAACAAATCCGCCAATCAGGAGGCTATAAGTATAGAAGTTTTTCTAAGTACACAGTACAGTCTTCACACACATAAGGAAGCAGGCTGGACAGTGCGTACATCTTACAGGACAGGTCATCCTGCACGTTTCTCTCCACAAATGAAACATCTCATTTCCATGCACCACTTTAAGCCCGTGGCCCATTTCCCCTCAGCTGGGTTTACATAAAGAGCGCTAAGGAGCCCAGAACTACCCGATTCTGTCAGTAGGTGGCGTCACTGCTGACAGTAGTGGGATGAACCGGGGGGAAGGAGCAGGCAGACAGAGGCAAAGATGAAGACCGGGCCCTGCCATCCGCCATCATGAGAGCCGAGCTCCAAGTCACAAAAGGGTTGGCGGTTGTTATGACAACTAGTGCAGCAGGAAGTGAGGCCAGCTTTGCGGCAATCAAAAATAAACCTCACCTTGGGAGCAGGTCGTCTGGAAAACATGAAAAAATTCCTTTCCTGGTATCTTCCTATGCATGTCTCTCAGTTGAATTTTTTTCTTATTCCTTATATATGCTTTTTTTTATATATGAAAAAAAACTATTCTATTCTAGTTGCCCACATATGCAAAAAAATTAACCTCATTCTGCCTTCTAGTGTGTATCCAAAATGCTCCAATTATGACAAACCCCACCTTAACGCCCTGCATGGCAAATCCAACCAGTGGGTGACCACACTCCAATAACTTGGCTTCTTCGTAAAAGACTTCCAGGCTTGACCACCACCCATACCCAGATTCCCAGAGATACCCTCATTACCTTCCTGGGGCAGGGGGCTGAGGGGTGAGTGGGGAGGTTGTTTTTAATTAGTCTTTGGCCCGGGAGGCTGAACAACACCAGGCATTTCATCGCCCTGTGGGTCTAACAGCCCCCATGGTGAGCAGCTAATTAGTTCCCTCTGGCTAAGCGCTGTGATCAATGGAAGTCTGCGGGCTAGCTCGGACATGCCCCCCCAAGGAGGGGGGGGGGTCACAATGGCTCCGCCTGTGAAAGTGGAGAGGAGGTGGGACCCAGAACACCCTGACTGCCCCCCTGCCCCCAAACAGCCACCTGCCATCTCTCTCTTCACCTGTCACCCTCTATTCAATAACACCTTAAAGAAAACCAGCTGGTAAGGACTCACCGCAATGGAGACAGCACTGGTTACTGCACCTATATAGCCTTGGAGAAACTTGGAAGCTGGAGTGGGCTTAGGAGGACAACACAAGACACAGACATCAAAGAGAGTCTGATCACATGTTCAACAGCTGAGTGAGAGTGGTCTACTCAGTAACCATGAACATGTGAGAGGAGCATCACTGAATGACAGAAACTATGGCCATGACCCTGAGAGAGGTGGTCTACTGAAGGGCCAGGACTGTGGGAGAGGTGGTCTACTGAAGGGCCTGGACAGTGGGAGAGGTGGCCTACTGAAGGGCCAGGACAGTGGGAGAGGTGGCCTACTGAAGGGCCAGGACAGTGGGAGAGGTGGTCTACTGAAGGGCCTGGACAGTGGGAGAGGTGGTCTATGAAGGGCCACGACCCTGGGAGAGGAGGTCTAAGAAGGGCCACGACCCTGGGAGAGGAGGTCTATGAAGGGCCACGACCCTGGGAGAGGAGGTCTATGAAGGGCCACGACCCTGGGAGAGGAGGTCTATGAAGGGCCATGACCATGGGAGAGATGGTCTATGAAGGGCCATGAGCCTGAGGGAGATGGTCTTCTGAAATGCCATGAACCTGGGAAAGGTCTACTGAAGGGTCATGACCATATGAGATGTGTTAAATTAAATGATAGTGACAATTCCCATACCTTAGTGGCATTCCTGTTAGAGTAGTTCACGCAAGCGTTGTGACTCTGGTTTAACCACTAAGGAGAAATGGAAACCAGTTTTCTTGGTTAGTACCTAACCACTTATGTTGGGTAGCAAGTTTGTTGTTTTTGACTTCTTCAACCAAAAGACCAGAGAAATGGCCATTTGTTACTTATGATAAGTGATAATAGAGATATTTTACCAATAGTGTAATTGAATAAAAAAGAACACTCACACACACATTGCATTATCAACCAGTAGTGGAGACCCCTGACGAATTACATGCATGGCTAGGTTTAAATATGGAGAACGAGAGTGTAACAGGACACTCAAAATAACAAAACAATTCACCGCGATGCCGTGCCACCTGAGAATATGGTTTTAATAATTCCACTTATACGTAAGAATAACAGCCGAACAGATATATTAGCTACCTGCGCGCAGTCAACCATGTTAATGCTATCAGACACTTAGCTCACAGCTTTGGGTAGGAAATGAAAGCAGAGCTAAAATTTATTCCACTGTAAACATTAGTATGACGTGTGTACAAAGATCCAAGCCCTTGTTTTTTTCCTCTGGGTTTTTTTTTTTCCAGAGGCAAGACATGAACCCAGGTGTGACAAGGATGCTATTAGATAATTACAACTGACACCTGACACCATATTTGGACTGGGGTTAACAGCCGGCACAGATGACAGCCTACCTGCCAGAAGACCGTGGACCCGAGTGTCTGGTTTGGCAGGAGCAGACCCACAACCTGCAGGAAACCAAAAGAGGAAGTGATGTCACTAGGGCCAAGACACCGACTGGCTACTAGCATATGGAAAAAGCATATCAACAGCATTCGGACAACAATGCAGTTCAAGCTTACTATTGGCGTTCCAAAAGGCACATAACCTGTGAAGCCCAAAATAAAAAGCATAAATTTCGCTTTAATTAAAAATGAATGCAACTTTGTAGATTGAGACAACATGCCTGAGTCTGTTATTACTTCAAAGCAGGCGCATTCAGATAAACATTGCTAGCAGGTAGAGCCACACTCTCTGGCGCTGGTCACTCAGTCTCAGGATATTTGTCATGGATAGATGGTAAAGTAAAACAAACCGGCCCTGAAACATGCAATTAAGCATATATACGGAGACAAAGGCTAAAACGTGTCACATAAGAATCCATCTACATGAGTGTTTACTGGGTACAGTTACCCTACAGTATTTTTCATTCATTGCTAAATTTATTTAAACATGGTTCTAGTAAACAGCAAATAAATGAGGAAGAAGCCTAGTTAGGCAGGTGACTCACAGAGGCACAAACCTCTCAGAACTTGCAATCTCTAAAAGACTCAGGAAAACACGCTGATTATTTAAACCGGGATACTTCCGACCCTCCAATGAAAGGGCCGTGACCATGGCGACTGACCTACAATGACAATCACAGACATCGCTGCCCCAGTCTTTGGCCATAAGTCAGAAATGAATTTCATTTGTATCTCTGACATGTTGCTAAACGGCAGTAAGAACCCAAATACCAGCACCGAGTGTGAAAGGTCCGTCTGTCACAAAGCTACTGATCAGCTGTATACCATCTGAATGGGCTGTAAAGCAAACTGTCTGAACATTTGGACAAAACATAAAATAATATCACTAGCATTAAATAGAATGTGAAACTACGTAATATTTGCATAACTCATTTCCTTTTCTCTTTCTTACCATTCTATCTATATATTTTGTACGTATTCAAATACAGGCCTGTTTATCACCTGCTCCAAATAACAAGGCCACAGAACATCACTGTCCTTTAGCGGATTTGAAAATTCATTTTTGGGGTGAAATTGAGCCCTCCTCTTTGGGTCTATGAGTGAGGTTTCATTGGCTCTGATGAAAAAACAAATCCACCAATCAGGAAACTGACAGGCCACACATTGGTAAGAATAAGCTGGCGAGCAGCTGGTGTACCTGACATCCGAAACGGCATGAAGATCTTCTCCCCAGTGTCGGGGTGGATGATGGCCTGTAATTAGCAGGATAACAGAGTCACTGGCGTAGCGGAGATTTCTCATGGCGGCCAGAGAGACATGCTAGGTGGCATCATTAGCCAAGCTAGCCTCCAGATCTAAGAGAACAACACGCAGTACGGCCTCACAGGGTCTGAGATACTGTATAACCGTTAACCATTAACAACTAACACGCAGCCCTGGTGAAAGGTGGCCCCCCGTCCTAGGAATGAGGAACAGCATGTTCACACTGAACTCGTGAACTTGTTGTTAACGACCAGGGCAGCGCAGATGTTCAGAGTTCAGCCGCAATGTCACAGAATTAATTATGACCTGCAATTTCACTGGCTGACTGCAGCAAAATCTTTTATCTTTTAATCATTAGTAATGCATCTTAAGTGTCAATATCCCGATCTGGATTCGCATTCCCACGATGATCTCTCTGTCAATATTTCAAAAAATATTTCTCTTCTGGAGATAACAGCATATATGAATAAGACCTTCTCTCCAATGAGCTCTTGGTCTCTCACAGTGTCAGGAAGGGTACTACAGAAATACTACAATGGTCTCAGGGGCCAAAACTCCATGTGCAGGGGGTTCTAATGTCAGTGCGGTGAACAGACATGGACTTCAGCTCCAGACCAGCTGATGCTTGAGTAGTTTTCATTCCCCTCATTCTCTTACCTGCTTTATCTTCTGAGCTTCCCAGAGCTGGGGAGACAAAGTCAACCAAGATGAATCGCACTCAGAGGCATTCAATAGCAGCTCCAGTTCATGCTAAACATGCTGCATGAAGAACAAAATGGCGGAAAACTGGGACTAATGACAGCAAAGCAGCCTCAGTCAGTGAGACGTTTGGTGAATGTCTAAGTAAAGAGCCCCCCCCCCCCACACACGTGACCTTCTCCTACACTGTCCTGTAAGCCTCTGACTGCTCAGAGTTCCACCTGAGGACACTGGAATTTAACCAGATGGGAGGAAATTGCCTCCTCCACTCTTTAACATCAAAAACACCAACCCCCCTCCCCCACAGCCCAACACCCCTACTCCCCTCAGGCAAGGTGCTTACAAGTTAGTCTTTCCTTATCGGCAAGTTTGTCTGCGAGTGTCTGCTTAATGCCATCCTCACCTGCTCATCTGACACTCCGGGTGGGAGACTGCCGTGTTTAAAGTCATCCAGCAGTTTCATGCACTCCTTCAGACGAATCTAAAGAGACAAACCACTTTAAGGACTCTTAAATCACCAAGGACACACACTCTCCGCATTTGTACAGATGGGTCGTAAGATAATTAAACAGAGACACACTCTGAAAAACAAAGAATAACCAACTAACCAACTAACCAATTAACCAACCAACCAACCAACCAACCAACAAACAGCAGCAGTTAAAAGAAACAATAAACTGTCATTCAGGGTTTTTTCCATATAAACTGAGCTCTTAATTTGTATTCCAGTAAAGTTCACATTCTTATTCTGCATGAATACTTAAGCACCTCACTGACCTAATTATGTCACTCTGCCTTCTGTGAGGAGCACTGTGTTGTTTTCCGTTACCATGCTTTGCTCGAAGGAAAGCGATAAACCGCAAATATTTGGACCCTGCTCCACACCGAGAACCTCTCCAACCAGGCTGTGCTGGAGATCACCTTCAACCAGCCATCATGACACGTTTTGGGTTAAATACCACACCCTCAAAGAGCCCAGAAAAGTCTTTAAAAAGGATTCTTTTATAGCCGCAAGCACTCAAGTCCAATTCTTCAGCCCTATTGCGACTGAAATTTGGCTTTAGAAACTTAGCGCCTTTAGTGCTGTACACCTCTAAAACCAGCTAAGGAGACTGTAACCTTGCTACATGCCAGTTAAATTTTATGCCCTCAAAAAGAGCACAAATGTCCATATGAAGGTGGCACTGGGTACACGGTCCAAAAATATGTTAGGCTGCTGACTTTAAATTTCTCATAGAGTATGACTGTGTATGTCCTGTGATGGACTGGCATCCCATCCAGAGTATACACCAGCCTTGTGTTCTATGCTGCACGGAACAGGCTCCTCCCAGGCAATCCTCAGGATGAGTGGCTGGATGGATGTGTTCGAATGAAGATGAATGCATGACAAAGCGACACCTTCTAAGCGCAACAGTCAGCAAAGGGCTCCATCACACCTGTATCATAGGCCAAGAACCGGCCATATACCAAGAAACAGCTGTAGAACATGCAGTAACTTCTCAAAGATGCTGTGTGGCGTGTCTTTCAACTCAACCTGTTATTTGTTTAGGAATAAAACAATTAATTTTACAAGTAGAATAATTTTGATTGGTTGGCTTGGGTGCCTAAAGTCACAGCATCATAATACGGACTTATTAAGGTTGTTGTAATTAGTAAGCAGGTAGGCCAGATGTTCTTTTGTACCTCAGACACAAACAGAGTCCGAGGATCGATCACGTCCAGAAAGTGTCTCAGTCGCCCAGAAAAAGTTTTCTGTATGGGGGACAAAAAAAAGCATTTTCAGGTCACTGCATTGGAACAGCACAAGTGTAGAGGTTTGGGAATCAAGGGAATTCCACCAATACAAGCCCAACATAAACAATTTCACATCTGAACACATGAATACCAGATTTATTAATATAATAAAATAAGTTGAAGAATATAAATAATATTAATGCAGAGGTTCAAGTGACTGGAGCAGGCTGTTTGTTTCAGCTGTGTATCGGCACCAACACCATAAACCATATACAGTATGACAAGTGAGTGGGTACTGGTACCAATCCAATGATCTGGATGCAGTATTGGCACCAATCTCATCATCTGAACTCAGTGACAGGTGTGTATCAGTACACATACCTTCTACTCTCATATCACAACCAAAATCTCTTCAAAATCCGAAATATGCAAGTAGGCGACGACGTGTTTGTAGAGTGTAAAGTTTGGTTTAAGAACGGTGTCAAAATGAACAAAGATGGATTAAGCACGGTTCGCTCCTGCGGGTATCACATCACCCCAGTGCTAGTAACGGGGTACATCAGAGAGGACGAATTTGCTGGGAAACACCTGACCAAACCGGGAGGATGTTTATGGTGTCCTCTGCGCTTCAGGATTAAATGTTAACGCACTCAAGGTTGCAATAGCGCAGATCGCAAAGTAAAAATGATGCTTTTGAATAAACTGATGACGATTAACAATGTAACATACGTCATTTATCGATGACTTCGTTCAAAAATAAATGTGTAAATAAGAAAATCCCCGGACAGCCCCATTTTCTGGAAAAATGGATGAAAACTAATTTTCTTTCCGCAATCGAAGAGTTTGCTCGGTATTTCCTTAAAAGGAAAACAAGGACATGGCCGAAGTCGCACACAACTTTATGAAAAACACGGTGCTTGTGACGATCGTGTGAAAAGCCATCCACAAAAATAATGCTAACGCTGTCGTTTTCGGTCCCAGAAAAAGTACCATAAGCGCAGCTAGCTAGCTCTGATTATACAGCACATTGTGCGATGCTTAGGAAAACAATAAGATAAAATCTTTTACCTGGTTGTATTGCGATTTTCCTAGCTGAAATGCGGGACAAACTGCAGATTCCGCCATGACACCAAAGAAGTATTATTTATTAATGAATCATACGACAAAACGGGATTTTAAAGAGGGAGCAAAGTACTCTTTCACTCCTCTGCGAAAGTACTGGGGTAAATGGGTCGCAGTGTTTAATGGGAAATGTAGTTTATTTCATTTGTGGTCGTCGAAGGCACATATTCTTTTGACGGGTAAAACAACTACACATCCCATAAAACGGAGGAATTACTTTTCTCATGGCATTTTGGGAAACGTAGTTCGCTTTGCGTCTGGATTTCTCTTGGTTTGGTTTATGTAGTCTGTCAAAGATTTTAACACTAGACATTGAAAATGTCTTATTATTACATAATGTAGATTTACAATGTACAGCTTTGTAGCAGAAATTAAATGTCGTTTATTTATATATTGTTATTCTAGGTTTCTCATATGTTTATAACACCAATACGAAGCATTCCCGAGTATGTAATGATATTATTTTGTTGCTCATTTTATAATAGTTATGCAATAATTATGTTTATAATTTGTTTAATAACGATCATTTGAAACCCTTGAGATAGGGAATAATTAAACGATGCCAACGTAATAATTATCTCATTAGCAGAATAAGAGAGGGAGAGAGCGACTCCTGCGAGATATAAGCAAAACGACATCTAATTGCGGACAACTGTAACTAGGATAGATGTGTTGAGCCATAAGCCAAGCTGCTCTACCTAAGACAGTAATAACATTCCTACAGCAATATCAATATAAATAGTGTACTACGGTTGTATATATTTCCTAGTGTGTCACACTTTAAATGTATGAATCAGAACACAAACGTGCATTTGGTTTCCAAAGAGATGTTAATTAGTCTACTGTTGTTTAACTGTTATTGTCATGAAGCTATGAAGTGGTGCCCCACTACCCTTTCCTTCATTATTATATTTATGTTAATACATGGGTAAAAAAAACCCCAATGTTTTGGATTGTACGTAAGTTAATTTTCATGTCATGTTGAACGATTTAACAATATCGAGCTTTTAAATAACTTCTAATCAAGGGTTTCGATTCAGTTGATTATATATTGTCCGATTCAGTACTTGCTGTGAATAGATATATTTAACCTGAACATTTTTGAAAAAAAAAATCCGGTTTAATAAATAGTCTAAGGATTTGTAAGAAATACAAGAAATCGAACCGAGATATGAGCGAACCATCAGATTAATTATAGGGGTAATATTGCCCTCTGGTGGTAGTAATGTGATTTTTTTTTTCTAGGACAGCGGGATTTGCCGCATAATGGGCGTTACAAAAACCAACGCAGATTTGCGGTCTTAGATGTGTTTTAAAGGAATAAAAATATGTTATAATGTAATATTACTGCTCATTTAATTTTTAATTATTTATTAATTGCTACTTGCTAAATTAACAGGACGTAACACATCGAGAAACTAAGCTTGAATTCAATGCTGTTTGAAATAATTCTTTAAAATGTCAACGTGTGAGTGCACATCTTATGCATATTATATACGAATGCTCAAAGAATACCACACACACCTGCAGTGAAATAGCAATGCTTTATTTTACATTACACAGTGCATAAGTTAAGCACGTTTGTGTATGTTGTCCTTATACCGGCAAAGCTGCACAGGACTGCAGTGGAGACAAGGCTAGACTGTAAGGGCTCTGGGGACACAAACAGCAAATATTTCACAAGATTTAAATTGAAACCAAAGTATAAATATGTAAGGTGTTGACACCAGTGCAAAGAACAATCATCTTCAAGCGTTATATTCCAGATCTTCCCCAGTATCCTACACCAGAAGTCATGAAGGTGCCGATATTAGATAAGAAGTGCTGTTCAGAGTTTATTTCATTAAATAAATGAAATTGACCATATATACTGTTATACTCAGAGAGTAGCTGTAATACTGACTAAAACTGGAATTAGGCCTATAATACAGATCCTAAACGACTGAAAATTATTTATTGTTGTACGAAAAAAAATAACTCCGCAGTTGGAAAGCAACTAAACAGACAGTTTGACATTCAAAGTATAGCAGACGTGTCCATGATAAAGATGTTTCAGCATTAATAGTTATAGTATTGTATATGGTACTTCAAATAAACTCTATTTTTTTTACTAAAAACCTAGGACTTACATGGAGAAGCCAGTGACAGGAAAACGAAGCTGTAGAAACAGGCTGTGGAATAAGCGTAGCCGTGATTAACACACAGTTGTGAGTAACACTGTCCTCGTGACCATTCAAGCACGCTTAATATATCCTGGAAGACTTTCTACTGTGATATAAAGGGGAATGCTAAAAAGCTGGCGGTATTAATAATGACAAAAATGATCTTGGTCTTGCTTTAATTGCATTGAATTTACCCTGAAGGCATTTAATCAGATCAAGGTTTGGGGCTATTTTTTACTCACTGTGGCATTTCCATGTCATTCACTGCAAAACAAAATATTTTCCCCACACTTGGGGAGCAATGTGTTGACTTTTTGCAGGAGAGTATTTTCTTTTTATTTTCATTCAGTATTTAAAAGTATAATGTACTGATACAATAGGTAAATTAATGCTATACAATCATGAAAGGAATAAAGAAAAAAAACATTAAAATGTGAAATAGGGAAAAAAAAACTAAAGGATCATATTCACAACTGTAAACTGCACCTGTTTATCCATGTACATTGCTTGGGCAAGAAAAAAAAATCAGAATAACTCTAAAATATTTTAGACACACAGCTAGAACGCTGGCTCCAAACTTAAGTGGACACCTATGCGAGAAGAGAACAAAGGATTACTTGGTGTTCTACGTGAAACGCAGGAGCTGTCTGAGAGCAAACAGAAACCCTTCCACGCAGATGAACCAGTAGAAAAAGGCGAAGTGGCTTATGTTCCTAGACCTTCTGAGAGCTATTTGGTCTCTGACTCATTTGGACTAGTGTTGGAGCCAGTTCTGAAAAAGGCTTTCGTGAAACAGTACCTGGCAAGTGCTGTAACACTGTACAGAAACAGTACATATAACAGCAAGAAGATCCAAGGGACAGAAATTTATTAAGTTCATCTCCCATGATGTTTTCACAAAGATTCTTCTTCATTTAAGGATTACCTTCCTGTAAGTTTCACAATTTGTGAAATATATTTGTTTGGCATTTCATGGGTTTTGATGGAACACCTACATGCCTCCTAATTTAAAATACTATCTTCAGAAACATGGCTGTGTTTGTTCTTGAAAGCACAGCTTGGCTCAGGGATGGTTTCAACAATCAAAACTCAGTCAGGTGGTACATATTTGCATCGAACCATTCTTAAACATTAAGTCCTAAAAAAAAACTGCAAACTAGGCCAGTAAGGCAGTGCTTGGCACTGGCCCTCACAGCGCCAGTGCGTGCTCTTATTCAGCGCCAGTGCGTGCTCTTATTCAGCGCCAGTGCGTGCTCTTATTCAGCGCCAGTGCGTGCTCTTATTCAGCGCCAGTGCGTGCTCTTATTCGCCCTGGTGACAGCACTCCGAAAAGGATCAGATGACAGGATAATATCCAATTCCTTGGCACTTCTCCAGCAGCTCAGAGCTACAAACAAAAAAAAAGCGCGACCTAAAGCTTAGGCTTAGCTGGGGCTCTGATGGCTTATCTACGCTCACTGTGAGCTAACGCTAACCTCCATACACGTGACCGGGGCCGTCCGGCTCTGGGGCTCCCCGCCTATTGCTGACCGGGGCCGGCCGGCTCTGGGGCTCCCCGCCTATCGGTGACCGGGGCCGGCCGGCTCTGGGGCTCCCCGCCTATCGCTTACCGGGGCCGGCCGGCTCTGGGGCTCCCCGCCTATCGCTGACCGGGGCCGGCCGGCTCTGGGGCTCCCCGCCTATCGCTGACCGGGGCCGGCCGGCTCTGGGGCTCCCCGCCTATCGCTGACCGGGGCCGGCCAGCTCTGGGGCTCCCCGCCTATCGGTGACCGGGCTTTTGTTAGGTACGTGTGTCAGAGAACCGGAAGCTGACAATGGCTGATGGGGCATCACATAAGCAGCTGAGAAGACAACGGCAAGGTAGGTCACAACCTAAGAGAAGGCTACACAGGCTGGATGCATACAACCACGGGGCCCCGCCCTCAAATCCTGTCCTGCTGCTCTAGAAGCAAGCAAAGCAAAATGGCTCGAGAAACCCCATCTGAGGTAGCAACTTTCGTCACACAAAACAGCAACCCACCCCCCAACCCCTGGAACTGAAGACTATGCATCAAACCTGGAGTCGTGCGGGTCCCCCGAACCCCTCCGTTCAAGCCCGACTCTCACTTGGGAAACGGCTCCGTGGACATTAAGCATGCAGGCATGGCATTTACTGGCTTTGCAGTTGCGTGGCAGTATAGGTGTGAGTAGACATGGAGCCGCCTGTTCGGGTCCGTGATGCCGCGGCCGGCCAGCAGGGGGCCTCGGCCTGCCGCAATCCCTCCCGTGCCCCTCACTTGTACCTGGAGCGCACCTGCAAGAGCGCAGGTGTCTGCTCCATGATGCGCACCAGCAGCCGGTCGATGTAGTCCTCCAGGTCGCGCACCTGCATCTTCATCTTCTTCAGCTCCACTTCGCGCTTCTCCAGCAGCGTCCCCTGCTTCTCCAGCTCCGCTCTCTGCTTCTCCAGCTCCGCCTCCTTCTGTAGCAGTAGAGCGACCAGCTCGCTGTGTGTCAGGTGCAGGTACTGGGCAGAGCTGTCAGGCTGGAAGGGGGGCAGCGTGTGAAGGTACAGCAAGCACATCACGTGTGTCAGTCTTCGATTTAGCCAATTTATGCCCCCCCGCCTTTCCCCCACCCAGTCATCTTGGGCCATGGGTAGGTGATGAAGCAGCAAGGCTGGGGATTCCATTCCATTGGCGCGCAGACACACACACAGACACACACACACACACACACAGACGCACATGTAGGGTAAACATATCCTTATGGGGACCACTCATTCATTTCAATAGGAAAAATGCTAACGCTAACTATGACAACCATAACCCCTACCCTGCCCTAACCATAACCATAAGTAACCTTAAGTAACCAAACAAAATACAAGACTTCTGGCATTTTCAGTATTTTAATTATAAGTAAATTTTAATTTACTTTCACAGATTTTTATTAAATTTAATTTCCCCTTGTGGGGACTGAAAAAATGGTAAAAATAACAGGTTTATATTGCGTCACATTTCTCATATTGCGACAAATTTAGAGAAGCCAATTAGCCTGCCTTTCTAACAAACATAAATGCAGCATTCAGAATATCCCACTGAACTCAACAATTCCTTAACAAACCGTTGTGAGAAACCAATATATATGTATATGGAGATGCATTTGGACAATGAATGGAGAGCAGGCCTGCAGGGACACACACACCGTCTATACTGAGAGCAGGCCTGCAGGGACACACACACTGTCTATACTGAGAGCAGGCCTGCAGGGACACACACACCGTCTATACTTAGTGCAGGCCTGCAGGGACACACACACCGTCTATACTGAGAGCAGGCCTGCAGGGACACACACACCGTCTATACTGAGTGCTGATGTCATTGGGGCCCCCAGACTTAATTAGCCAGTGGATGATTTATGTCCGGTAAAGTAAAGCTTCTAACACCCAAAAGCATACAGACCATCTTCCTTCATGTATCTGTTCTTACACAGATTTACCACAAGCTGAAAAACAAAGCCATTCTCAAACTGGAGATCTTTGGTACATTGGTTCTATGGTTCAAACTCACCGGTATTTTCAAGTTGTTAAGAGTGATGACATGTTAAGTATGATGACAGTCACGCATTAAACTAAAACTATATGATTATAACTATATAAGTAAAACTACAGCTGCCTTGAGCTGCAGAAACAATAGTAGAGGCAAAGTGAATAGCTGATTATCTTGAGATTACAGACGCTCCGCGGGTTATGATGGGGTTACATTTCAAGAAACCAAAATATCATAAGACAAAAATGCATTTTAAATTTTTAATACAGTACACCTAAGCTAAGAAACATCGTAGCCCATCTTAGCCGACCTTAAACATGCTTACAACACCTTACATCAGCCTACAGTCGGGCAACATCATTAATACAAAGCCTGTTTCATAATGAAGTGTTGAATATGTCATATAATTTATTGACTAATCATGCCCATTGTAACACAGACCCGGGGAGTGTCTGCATCCCGGTGTCCTGGGAGTGTGTCAGCCTACCTTGCTCCTGTCAGCTTCCGTCTCGCTCTGTGAGCTGGTCCACCTGGGGTGGATGGTCGATCTCAGCTTCTCCAAACCGCTCACTAAGACCGAGCGACCCTCTGCCTTTTTCTCCCCCTGCTGCAGTGTCGCAGTTAGGGGCTTCACTGGATGGGGGCTGTAGGAGAGAGATAATCAGGTGGGGTGGGGGGTACAACTCACTGAGCGGTTTGGGGAGGGGTGCATGAACCACACACATATACCCAGACAATTCATTTTTTAAGAATCAGCTTCTTTCCACATCATTTTCCATTGTGTATATGGAAATGATTGCAGCTCAACGTGGGATTCCACATCATTTATGTAGCCGCACAAAGAAGAAAAAAACTTTGTATCCCAGAAGACAGCCTTTGTCTGAAAGCACATTTAAAAGCCACACTTAACAGGATACAGTGGCCATTAAATATGGATGTTTGGAAAAAAACTGCATTCTTCCTTCAAACAAGACTGAAAATTTTGTTTCTTCAAATAAATCTTAAAAACGTATTATTGCTTGTTAAATTAAGTTCCAAGCTAACATTATTCACAAGGAAATATTAAATACTTTTACAAAAAAACACTTAGAAGTTTGTTTAGTTATAAATCCATATAATAGTATCATTAATATTATATATTACCAAGATGCCCTTTGGTAGCTGTTTCTCCACATTTGAGTTCCCCTAAACATTTATCACAGGTAAAATTCTGCATCCCAGCCGAATTAAGATCAGGAAGTAACTCAGGGAGAAGCTGTATGTCAGCAGAACTAGAGTGGTCTCCAAGAGGAGATGCTTCTCATGGGATAAGAGATACCACACTCCAAACACCCCAAAAATGTTACCGGAGGTGTTGACAGGTGCCCCAAGGATCTACACCGACCCCAAAAGGCTCAAAGGGAAACAGGGAACGGGGGGGGGGGGAAATAATTGTCATGTCAGCAAAGGTCTCCTGCCTGCTAATTGGACTGGGCATCCCGTCACCCAAAAGCGGCTTCACACAGCGGCCCCGAGGAGAAGGGGCTTTCTCAGGCCACCAACATCGAGATCCACAAGGGAGATGGTGGTGTGTGAAGGTGGGAGGGGGGAACCATGGGAGGGGAGGCAGGCCTGTGTGTGGGGCTGGGGGGGGGGGGGGGGGG